AACATCAAAAAAAAGAAAAAGAAAAAGACAAACAACATCAACCACAACAAAAAAAGAAACAGAATTTTAAAAAGAAATAACTTCAGTCTCTTAATGTTACTTTGTGTAAATCACTACAATTCAGTTTGGAAATGTCCAAGAAAATTGGAGACATAACCTTGTCCTGCCATCTGGGTAATGACACTAACCATCACTGATGGAATGACTACAAAAATTCATGGCTAGTTACTAAAATATAACTGTCTTTATGAAAATTATGCCCTATTAAAGGCATAGAAGGGGAATACAATATACAGCTAGCAATTTATATGACAATCACAGTATAGTTTACTTCATTGCAATACTGTTTGTTCGGACTGACCAGGTCCTTAGAGAAGAACAGCCTCATCCAGTGCAGCAGAATCGTGCTGGGCTGCCTTGATCTAGATTCCTGCTTCCAGTAGACATGAGCAGTGAGTATCCGGCAGTTTTCCTTTCATTGGCACACAACACAGAACACCCACAAGCTACGGAAGCAGGACCTGGCTTTGCTTCCCGGTGGAGAGAATTGAAGACCTGGTAGGTACACTGGCTGCAAGGCGTTGGCATGATGGTGCTAAGGACGCCACAGCAAACACGCTCTGCTCACGGCAGCCAGGAATCAGAGCAGGGAACAGTGTCAGAGGAGGATTGGCCAAGGGGCCAGATGTAAACTGCAAGGCCACAGATCCGGGACTCGCAAGGACGTGCACAGAAATGTGCACTACCCTTCCTCCCAGCACAGCTCAAGGGCCACCAAGGTGACACTCCACCAGGACCCCTCATCAACTTCATACCCCAACACTTCCTAAGCGATAATCTCCAAATAAAGAAAAGAATACTCTATAATTCTTCCTGACACAGAAAGGCTATCCTGCCTACAAGCCAAAGTACAAGTACCTGTTTGAACTACATTGTAAGGTACTCATACTGTACTAAAAATATTTGCTAATAAAAAAACTCTCAGCCCATTAATTTATAAAATTAAGACATCTTAATAATTGCAAATTTAAATAATCATATCTGGATAACAAAATACACAGATGCAGAGCAGAGAGTAATATCTCAGTAAAATATTTATCAAACATATTTCAAAGATATGCTAATTAGGTCAGAGTCCAGGGCATAGACAGTGGGTTAAAGCAAGGAAATACAAGGAAGCGAGGCCTTTTCTTTGGCTAGTGTGCCTCCTAGGATCACCACAGGCTCATAGGCCCAGCCTTCCACAGGTTTGTCCATTTGTCCAAAGCACCTCTTCCCCACCTGACCCAACCCCACCATCGCCAACTTTCCTTTCTTTTCCAGCTAGCTGCTGCTCGCCTGGTGAATAAAACCATATGTAGGCAGCAGGCCTGTTCCCTCCTATGCAAGGACTCACCACTACTCAGATGTCCAGAGTTGTATTGAGCAATTCATGGTGGGCAGAACTCCAAAGCCTTCAGAGAAAAAGCTGCATTTGCTTGGGTCCATTTCTTCTGGGTTTAAAGCCTTGCTGGGGCAGGGGAGAGGCCCAGCTTGCTGTTTCCTGCTGCAGAGGCTGAGGCCCTGGAGTGAAGTGTAACCAAGGAGGGCTCCCTCTGTGGACAGCGGACTCCTTCTCCAGCTGAGAGCCACCCCACGGTAGTCCTCTTCCCTCCTTGCTGCCTACACTTCTGATTTCACCTTGTTCCCTTTCCTCTGTAGACAGTCAGGGAGAGAGAAACTTTGGATGCTTTACCTTATGACATGAATTATTTTAGCTCAGACTTCACACTATGACAACATGGAACTAATTACAGAAATATTCAGTCCATAAGAGGCTTGCATTTTTCCACTGATACATAGAACATGGCAATTTTAAGAGATATCCCACTGTACAACCACCGTTATCTTAGAAGTGATTATTATCTTAGTATTGACTGTTACTTTCTTATCTTTGGCTAAGCATCTTATATAATTCCCAGATCAAGAACTTTCTTTTTGGGCTGGCCAGATGGCTCGGGGGGCAGAGTGCAGCAGCCAGGATTTGATCCCCAGCATGCCTGTGCCGGCCCCGTCCCCAGGGCACACCAGCGCTTGGAAGGCTGATAACAGGAGAATTGCCACGAGTCCGATCTACATAGTGAGACCCTGTACACCCTGTAGACCCTATCGTAAATTCTGTGCTCTGCAAAAATATTTATCAAGCATATCTTCCCTAATTCATACAAAATAATTCTCAAAGAAGGGTGTGTACCCTTGCTCTCTTAGTAGGTCCATGTAGTCATTCTGAGAGGGTATTTTTTTTAATTTAATTTAATTTTATTTTGGAGAGTAAAACTTTTTTTTTTTTTTTTTTTTTTTTTTTTTTGGTGGAACGGGGGATTGAACTCAGACCCTTGCCCTTGACAAGGAAGCGCTTATTCCACTGAGCCATCTCCCCGGCTCCCTAGAGAGTAAAACTAAAAGCAAAAATGAATAGCAGAAACAGGGTAACATCCAACAATATATATGTTACAGATTTTCAAAACAAGACTAGCAAATTAACAATGGTTATTAAACTATCTATTTTATCATCAATTCTGTTGCTCAGACTAACAGATACAGTTTTGCAAGATTGGACAAATCATTGAATATTCTTGCTTTCAATAAACCTTAATTTTCTTTCCTGTCTTTTTTACTTTAAAACAATTATTTTACAGAGACTGTAATAATACTTAATAAAACATTAGATACAGTACACATTCAGAAGACCTGCAATCTAAGCAACTATATTGAGGACAGCAATGTGTAATATAAAAACCATGGTTGAAAATTTATCCTGAGTTTTAGAGTAGTTTAAAAACAAAGAAAGAAAAGCATAGGGACCAGTAACTAACATTTATTACTAGTAGTGGTCATCCAGGAAATGTCTGGAAAACACCTAGAAGACTGTGGCTTCTAACAACTGTCCATACAAATGACTCTTAGTTCTGACAGATGGTAGAAACTGCTTCTTTCATAGTTTTCTGACCCGTTCATCATGAGGTGCTTTAACAAACATAGAAGACTGAGGTTGGAATATTTTATAAAACAAAATCTGAACAGAGTAGGGTTGGCTGCAGAATCTCAAACTTGAAAGCCAAATTTTCAGTACAAATACTATTACTATGAAGCTACAAAATTGATGTACAGGATATATCTTAGCTTGGAACCTTCAGTAATCACAAAGGCAACTAACTTTATTATACAGTAAACACTTTAAGTAGATATTTTACATTTAGTGATATTTGGTTCCTACCACTCAGTTTAAGAGTAAATCCCAATCTATATTTTAGAAGAGAGAATCCCGGAATTTATCCATAACCAAAATTTCACAGAGCTTATGGAAGAAGTAATGGGCTTTGAACTCACACTCGCAATGTAACTCCGGGTATGTTGCCTGTTCTTGGTTGTTTTTTTCTCCTGGATTCCCAGATGGAACTGGGTAGCACACCCTAATATTTGTTTGTAAAGAATCTTAGGTTGTGATGCAGTTCATGGGGGCGGTTCTTACAGGTTATCCTACACAATATGAGTAGTTTGCTAACAGGCTTTTCCAAGTATCTTGAGATCAATGATCAAGAGAAATACGGAGAAGTGGGAGGATATGGCTCTTACAGTGAGAGGGATCAATATTTGGCTGGGATTGATGTCTGTGAGAATATGAAGTGGGACGAATTCACTTCTCTCCGACCCAAGCAAATACACTGCACCTCCCCGGGATGATAAAAGCTGCCAAGTACGGAGGGGAAACCACCAGGAAGAGGAGGTCTGAACAGTACAGAAGCACTCTGGTGCCAGAGATGACCTCAAGACAGGAGTCCTACAAGCAGATGGAGGGATGGGAAAACTCAGGGGCGGCACAAAGTCAAGGGGGCTGGGCAGTTCCCAGGATTGAAATAGGGATAAAGGGGCTGAGGATGGCAACATTTATGGAACTGGTAGATGAGCGATCCATTGTCTGTGATGTTGAAAAAGGAGACAGTGCCTGCTTCCAAGCTGAGGAAAACTCCAATGCGACGGAGAGGAATGGCCACAGAAAGGGCCAAAACCTTTGGATCAAAGGTAGGAGATTCGTCGAAGGCACGATACCCATGTTTCTTCCGTAACCCTATGACCCAGTAGCCATGTTCCGGTTTGTACCTTGACCAAGTTTTCAAGTGGGCAGTGCTGAGACGGCTAGCCAGCTTCACAGAAGGTTTTCTACAGTACACGCCCAGGACCCAGGCAGTCTTGTTGGATACATCTACTTCCCAATAATGTTTTCCTGAGGAGAAATACTGGGAGCCTAAAATACCATAATTATCACTCTTAAATGGCCAAATGGGAACAGCTCTCACTTGTCTGTGATCTTCCGAAAGGACAAGATTCAAATTCAGGTTGACTGGATTCAGTGTAAAATCCTCTGCAGGAGAAGAAAAAGAAAAATAGATCAGATGACAGGTTTGAAATAAGCTCATCTGGTGACACTGTGAAGAAGGAACTCAGGGAACTTCGCAGGGATGGATTGGGGGAGGAGGTAAAATGTGAGAGAAAGGCATTATCCAGATATGAAAGCATGACACACGGTGATAAAATCTTGTTTCAAAATGCACAAACTCTCATCTCACAACCACAAAGTTCTAAAAAGTTTGTCCTACCAATTTGGTTTGAAAAAAAAAAAAAAAGTTCTAAAAGGTGATGAGACCACAACAATTGGGGTGCATGGGTTTGTGTGTGTGTGTGTGTGTGTGTGTGTGTGTGTGTGTGTGTGTGTGTTTCTCTGGGGAGTAAACTCAGAAATTTTGCACTGAGCTACATCCCCAGTCATTTTGAATTTTGTTTATTTTTTAGACCAAGGTTTTCTGTGTAGTACAAGCTTTCCCAGACTCACTATGTAGGCCAGGATAACCTCAAACTTGCAAAGACCCTCCTGGCTCAGCGTCTAAGTGCTAGACTTACAGGCATGTACCACGCTCTTTTTGAGAGACGTTGTCCCTAAGTGGCCCCGACTGGGCTCATACTTGTGATCTTCCTGCCTTAGTCTCCCATAATACTAAGACAGCAGGCGTGTACCATACTCTCAGCAGGAACCAGTGATTTTAAGGCCCAACAGCTTCTTACCCCAGTATCCTTGGATATCTTTTAGCTCTGAAATGATAAAACATTTAATGCTTTTGATTAGAAACAAAAGAGTAGAGGCTCCACTACCCCTTCTCTGAAGTAGAGGCTAAGGAGGGAGAACAGTGCCAAGGTACTCTGATAAATGAGAGAAGAGTCGGATACCTCCGCCATAATCAAGGCCTCTTCAGCACAGAACACCTCTTCCCAATCTCCCTCCTCAAATCTACCTTCACTTTTAAACTACCCCATTTCCCTGGATGTCACTAGATTCCCACATCTGCTCCCTTCCCCAGGGCCCTACCTCTATACAGACACAGCACCCTGCGCAGGTCTGGAAACTCCAGTCGAGTGTCTGTTTTCCTGGGAGGAGTTTTTGGCTTCCTCACTGTCCAGATCTCACTCCTAGGGATGACAAAACATCTTGAACTCCAGTTACACCTGTATCTATCCAACCCCCACCCCTACCTCACCCCATTTGCTCCCTTCCCACAGGCCACAGGCATTGTATTCCTCCTCCCTGGGAGGCTAAGGGGAAACCGGACCCCAGATTGAGGAACAATAGGTTTGTGTGTGGATTAGGTTTTCACCAACCTTCCATGTGACCTAGGCGGGTCCTCAACTCTTCAAAACACAGTCCTTCTAAAAGAGGAAGAATTTACCCTTCCTTTGCTATTCAATGAAAATAACACAAACTGAGGGGAACCAGTACACAGACAAGGCCTTTGCTACCTCTACCAATGGTAGGTGATGCGGGAGTCACTGCATCTCCATGAGAGTCCATATTTGAGATTTCAGATTATTAGGGGCTGGGGTGTTCCAAATACTTTTCAAGAGAAAACACATGACTACAAAAATAAACATGGTTAGCGGTTCTTGTGTCTGTATGGAATTGGATACTAACAGGTGGGTTATAGAAATAAATACTACACCATAGGAGCTTCTAAAGTATGAAAACGGAAAGAGATTATTTATTAGCAAGTTGAGCCAAAGCCACTAATCTCAAGGTTTGAGTTTGGTTTTAGAAATGTAGTGAGAACCCTGAAGAATGACCTGGTCTGTTCTCTCATCTAAGCAAATAAACAGAGAGGAGTAGGACATATGGCCTCTTGGAAGACTTTAAGAGGCCCTTTAATATAATAAAACAAGTATCTATGTAATGAAGGACACAGGGACAGAAGGTATTAAATGAATGAAGTCACAGTCTGATTGTGAAAGCCTAATCTCTAACATCCTCTGTGCCTATAACCTTGCATATCCACCACCAAAAGCACCTTTCATAGAAATCCCTCGCTTTCTAAGTAGGTATGGGACACTCCAGCCCTCACTATCAACTTAGGGTCCAAACTGCCAAATTTCCTGGATCTGATAGATGTTTTTCACTCTGCTCAAAATGTTTCTAATGGCTACAAACCTCTAAGTACCAAATATACTTGGTTAGTCACACATACCATTTCAAAATTCCACTTGTGTCCTAGGAAAAAGAGAGACAATACAAATCACAAAGGATAAGGATGAGAGCAGAACTAATGAAAAAAAAAAAAAATAAATAAAGAACAAGAGGGACAAATCAGAGAAATCCAAAGTGTGTCATTTAAACATTCAATAAAATTGTCAAATTTTTCATTTTGCACATCAAGAAAAAAGAGAAAGGAAGTGAATTGCTCAAATCAGAAATGGAGTATGGGGCATAACTACTGTTCCTACCAAGACTTGCCAAGGACTACAGTGTAACTCAGCGGTAGAGCTGTTGCTTGGCAAGTGCACACCCCAGGGTTACATTTCCACGATGACAGCCCCTCCCAACAAATTTTAAATTCTAAACCTTAGTGCACCAACAAATCAGGCAATCTTGATGAAATGAAGACAATGCCTGGAAGCACTACACAGACACTGATTCAAAATGGCAAAAGGAAATAAACAGATCTAAAATATGCAAAGTCACAGATTTTTTAAAATGAAGAAAAAACTAGGAAAAGGAAAAGGACAAATGAAAGAAGGGAAAAAGATATACTTAGGTAGATATACTGAATATTTTGGATAAATGTACTGCCAATTTCAGCTGGCCTATTGTTTTCTTTTTTTAATGTATTTGGTTGTTGCAGGGTCTCGCCATGCAGCTCGGACTTGTGGTGATCCTCCTGTTTTCAGCATCCCCAGCACTGGGATTACAGACCTTTGTCACTACACCCAGACTCTGGCCAGCTCAGCCCACCCTGCCTACCGGCTGGAACACATGTAGTGTCTGGAATCAAACCTTAATCCCTGTGCTTGCTTAAGCTTGCCTAAGCAGGTGCTTTAGTCTGCTGAGCTATCTCACTGGTTCCTTCAGATGGTCATTTGAAAGAAACAGTTAGTACTTAAAATTTTTTTCCTTTTATCCTTCTTTTCCTTAAATTTTGAGTTTCTTACAACTTTTTTGTTATTGTTTTGTTTTGTTTTTTCTTTAAACCAATCTTGCATGCTTATATCCGGTAACCTGAAAAACTAATCTGAAGATAATATCATGTAATACAGTAACCATTGTTTTGTTTTGTTTTGTTTTGTTTTGTGGTACCAGGGATTGAACTCAGGACCCTACACTTGCCAGGCAAGTGCTTATTCCACTGAGCTATCTCCCCAGCCCAACAGCAACCATTGTTGCATTCCTATTACTTTGTTTAGTAAAACTTTATATTATTTCTAATGCTATTTTTCCTTCCATCACTATTTTTTATTCTTTAAAAAAAGAGGAAGGGTCTGATGCCTTCATGGTTAAATTTTGATAAAAGTTTAAGGATGTAATAGGAATGTCTCTGGAATTCTGAAACATAAAAGAGGAAACACTTTGGTAATAATTATACAACGTCATTCCAACCCACACAATAAAATCATACAAAAACAACAAGACAAAAAAAAATCTATAGGCCAAAATTCTAATGAATATAAACACAAAATTAATCAAAATAGTAGAAATGTAATACATTAAAAAAATCTTGACCATTATAACATGGTTAAGTGAGACTTAGCTAAGAAATGAAGATTTGGTTTAGCATGAGAAAATTTAGATAGGGGGCTGGGGAGATGGCTCAATGGAATAAGTGCTTCCCTGGCAAGCGCAAGGGCTCAGTTCGATCCCTGGTTCCACCAAATAAAAAAAAATTTAAAAAAAAAATTTAGATAATATGACATATATTAGAACAAGGAATACAAATCATATGACATTGAGATTTCAATGGAAGGCAGAAAAAAGCCTGACAAATGTCGACATATTTTCATAATAATAATAAAAGGGAAACTTAACAAGCCTGGAACTGAAAGGAGTATCTTCAGCCGAAGGGCTTCTACAAAATCGCAAAGTTAACACTGAACCTAAGCATGAAAAATCTGAGACTTTTTCCTTAGATCATAAAAAAAAAAAAAAAAAGCTAGAATGCTTGGTTTCACTCTTTCTTTTCCACATGGAAAACTACAGGCACATAAAGGACAGTGACAGACCGCGTTTCCCGAAGCTGGACTTGCTCCCAGGCCCACCTGCAGCAGCTCCTCGGCTGCCCACTGGCTCCGATGCTCCAGCTCTGAGATGAGCTCTTCCAGAACCTGGCTCTGCTGAAGCATCTCATCCTCGGCTTGCTCCCAGTCAGCCAGCGTCTTCCTTTCTTTCTCCTCCAGGATGCGCAGCTCTCTCTGCTTCTCATTGTGCAGGGCTCTTCTAAGCCAACAAAATTTACTTTCTATCCATTGTCTCTCTGTCTTCATCTCATGCTGTAAGGGTGGACGGACAGAGATGCAAGGAACGTGTCAGACTGAGGGCTACTGTGCAAGATATTAGGAGCCAATGGGATGATAGTTTTTAGGGATTTCAAAGGAAAAAGGGTTCACAAGCAGAAGAGCAATCTGACAACAGTGGATTTTGTCCTTTTTTTCTTTAGCTACCTGAAGAGTGCCTCTGCCTGTCTTGCCTGGGCAACCCTCAGACGGACTGGGACACGAGGTCTCAGTGGTCCACAGTTGTCCTTCTTGAGCACTATTTTCCTGGATTATCAACCTCCCCATTTTATTTTTTATATTAATTTTATAGAGAAAGAAATGGCATTGAGACAGTTTCAAAACAGGTTAGTAGGACAGGTACAATAATTAAAACATTGCATATTGTTGTCTTCATAGTAGTTATTCATAGTACAAGATGCAGATATGATATCTAAACACTATTAGTACAAATCTTTCTTCTCATTGAACTAAGAGAAAGTAGCTATTTATCTAACCTACCCTCCCCATTTTAAACCAAGAAAACTTTAGTCTTTTTCCTCGTATCCTTTCAAGAAGCATGAGAGCATCCTTGGAGAAGACTAAGGACAAAGCTCTCTTCTCGTGCCCATCATGAATACAGTCCCTTGCCAGTATCTATGTGCCGATCACACATCTGTGCTCCAGCCCCCACCCAAACAAGGACAAAACAAAAAGGAAGACTACTCAGATGACATCTGGACTTGTAAAACATCACAGAATAAAGATAAAGGAAGGGACCAGGGAGATGGCTCAGTGAAATAAGCGCTTCCCTGGCAAGCGCAAGGGTCTGAGTTCAATTCCTGGTCCCGCAAAAAAACCAAAACAAAACAAAGCAAAAGATAAAGGAGTTCTGATCATTTTGGTCCCTCTCTAGAACATCTTTTAGTAGTCTTTGTATGGTTGGCTTTGTCGCCATGAAATTCTTTAGGTGTTCTTTGTCATGGAAGTAGTTCACTTGAATGCCTGTCATTCTGGGTTTCTAAATATATACTGCTTCTCATGTCATATCAACTAGTGTAAATGTTTGTTTTTAAAAAAAGGGTAATAAATGAAAACTAGAGACAAGAAAAATAAAGATAAAGGAAATACTTAGATTAGAACCCCCGGTTCAGGGGCCCTGTAGGTTAGCTCAGCTGTTTAAGCACCTGCTTAAACACAGTCAGGCACAGTGGAACCCAGTTCGATCCCCAGCTCTACATCCCTTACCAGCCCCGCCCTTAAGGTAGCCTGAGCCAGCCCCTCCCCCCCACAAAAAAAATCTTAGAACCCCAGGTTCTGCCCAGTCCCTCCTCTTGCCTTCCAAGCAATTCTGTCTTCCATGATGGCAGCTTTCAACTTCTCAGCTTCCTGCTGCTCTTCCCGCAGCCTCTGCAGAGCTGCCTGCACTCTCTCCTGAAGGAAAAGAAATGACGCCACAGTCAAGTTTTAAGAGATCTGAGCATCTGAACAGCAGGTTAGCAGGAAATAAATCCAGTTGGATTTAGATGAGGTCAATTTTCAGAAACTTTGAAGTTGATTAGAATGTATGAAAGGTGAAGAAAGCTGAGGCTGTGATGTATTCGCCATTGCCGAGGGAGAGAAGTCACTATCTTCTCCCAGCAGCAGCCTGCACTGCTTTGCTCGGCCTCTGCTCTAAGCACAGTACTTTCCTGCTACAGACAGACGCTCTTTCTGTACCCAATCTACAAGGCTTCCCAGGAGCCACACAGACAAGAGGAACAATAACAGGAGCAATGGGGAACAAATCACCCATCTACACAATGAAGGGGGGAAGAGGACCCCAAACTCCCTTCTCTGGGCCCAGAATGCCTCTATACCTTAGGGTCACTCTTCAGTGTACAGGAAGGAACACACTGCAATGGACTACAGGCATTGGAAGCTGAATGTAGAATAAGAGACATACAGGAAAGGAATCCCATGATTCTGTGCTATGGTGTCAGTGTGAGTAAACAAGGAATAATGCTGAGACTCCATCAGCCCCATACCTGGCACTCCTGGACTACCTCCTCCACGAGAAACGTGTGGTGGCCACAGTGTTCCTGAGAACGCTCGCAGAGCCAGCAAATGACCTTTTGGTCCTCCTTACAGAAGAGTTGAAGTTTCTCCCCATGGAGGGCACAGAAAGCTATCTTCTTCTCAACACCTGTGTTCAGCTTCAACTCCCCGAGTTTCTCCACTGTGTCAGCCTGGTGCTGATTGGCCCATAGATTTTCATGGGGGGACCCGGTGCCACACACAGGACAGCTGCACTCCTTTCCTGAGCCCTCCTCTGCCTCCTCTCTGTCCACAGTGATGCAGGATGGGCACAAGGCATGACCACAAGCTAGACCCAGCGGCTCTGTCAGCTGTTTCCGGCAGATGGGGCAGGTTGCCTCCTTCTCTAGGTCAGTCAGGATTTTAGAAGCCATTGTAACTGCTCCCTGTGCTTCTTCTGTTCCTGATTCCTGAGGTTCTTCTCACTTCAAGATGTCTTGATGGCTATATAGACATCAGAATGGTAAAAGCAAGGAGCAATCTAACTGTACAGACATTACTTACTGGCCAAAACACACACAAAAAATTAAGAAAGAAAAGAGAAAATATTATAACAGCATTTAAAGGCCTGGGCAAGCCATAAATGCTGAGAACCTCTGCTGAGCCTCCCCTGTTAGCTGGATGGCTTTCTCTCCTCTCTCACCCAGCTTTCTCCTTCCACATCCCCTCATCTGAAGAGCCTGCTCTGACCACAGCACAGCCACAAATAAAGCACCTCATGGACAATTGCCTTCTTTCTCTTATCACTACAATAGCTACCTTTACGACTATTTCTCTTCTTTTTTTATATTTTTATTTTATTTTAGTTTAGTTTAGTTTCTCTTCTGAAAATGCAATTTGTGCATTAATTTGGCATTTTTCTCCAGCTGATTTCTCATCAGTTCCTGGAATTCACAGAAATATAGCATTTCATAAAAGATATAAAGAGTCTTTTTTTTTTTTTTTTTTTTTTTGGCTGGCTCAGGCTGCCTTAAAAGCCGGTCTGGAAAGGCATGTGGTGCCAGGGATCGAACCGCTATCCTTGTGCTTGCTTAAGCAGGCATTGTAGACTGCTGAGGTATCTCACTGGACCTCATCCTTTCTTACTAATGTTTATTTTCATCTATTAGCCACCTTCTACTAGGTGAACTTTGCAATCATGGATGTAGTTTCCAGTGAAGAAGTATTTCTCTCCTAACACACCTACCTAAGCAATCCTTCATATGTTGTCACTGGCTTCCCAGACATATGCAGAGAAACTGGAATTACATCTTAGATACAGTTTAATCAGTAAGGGTTTTATAATCCTCTTACAATTTGGGAGTCATTTCACTAATTTATTCCTCATAAGAAAATTCTTGAGAAATCAGGGCATTCCATTCTTTTCATACAGATAAACAGTATTAAAAGTATTAGAGGGCTGGTGAGATGGCTCAGTGGTCTAAAGCACCTACTTAGAACAAGCTAAGCTAAGCAAAACACAGGGACCACAGTTCAATCCCCCAGCACCACATGCCAGCCAGCCCTGCCCCCTGGTGGACTGAGCTGGCCACACACACACTAAATAAATAAATAAATTTTTTAAAAAATGTATTAGAGGCAGCCGGCCTATTAGCTCAGTTGTTTAAGCATCTGCTTATGCAAATGCAGTCAGGCACAAGATACCTAGGTTCAATCCCCAGCTCCCCATGCCTTACCAGACCCACCGTTAAGGCAGTCTGAGCCAGTCAAAAAAATAAAAGTATTAGAGCAGGGTGGTGAGCCTAGAGCCCATGTACCACAGCAGGCTACTTTTGTCATTGAGAGCTCTCAGAGGTTCGCCACTGCTGAATGCAAGTAGCATTCAACTATTCAACTCAATAGGTAGAATCAAGGTAAAAATAACATCCTGAGTCTTACTTCAAATGTGTGAATGCCACTGAACACACTTCAACAAAGAGGCAAAGTCGAAAAGAAAACATCACTATCCAACTTCTTAACAGTGTAGGAATGGAAGCATCCAGGTAAAACAGCAAATGGTGAGGTGTAAGTGTGTTTTTAGGTGGTAGGATTTCACATTGGCCTGGAAATAGGTCAAAGGTATTTTGTTTTGTTTTGTTTTTGAGACAGGGTCTGGTTAGGTATTTCACACTAATCTTGAACTCATTATTAGCCTAGACTGGCCTTGAACTCATGGCAGTCGTACTGCCTAAGTTTCCTGAGTGCTCAGATTACAGGCCTGTGCCACCATACACATGAGTCAAAGAGACTAATGGGAGCCCCAGTCTGTACTTTTCAGAGAGGGAAATGGTACACATAAATCACAGTGAAATATCCATTGGAAATAGCTAAGAAACAGAAATACCAGTAAGCTGGATCGTGGTCATAAGAGAGAAGTTTCAGTGGAAAAAGGGAAAATCCACATCCACAAGGTGAATCCAATGAAGTAATTAATTACTCAGCAAAATATTATTATAGATAATCAGTTATGCTAAGTGATCAAAATTCTAGAAATGGATGAAACTCCAAAAATCAAAAGTTGCATACAAACAGATATTACACATAATAAAGTTCTATTCACCTAAATAAGACATAAATTAACTAAATAATCTCTCATAAAAATTTAGTGACAAGTGTGAGAAATCCAATTATTTGTCAAATAAGAGAATATCAAAGATTACTCTCCTTATATAAGTAAGATTTGAAATAAAAGCTGAGTGACAGGAAAGCAATACAAAATCAGAAAGAGGATGAATATTTTTAGGGAGAAGGCATCCTGCACATAAGTGTCTTGCTGAGGGAGGACACAGCATTTGGTTTTGTGCATTGCCAGTGTGGCAGCTTTGCTGGGAACACTGCTAGGTCCCTGTGTCCTGCGATCCTAAAGGAAGCTGGATGTGAAGCACTTTCCAGTTGATGAAGATGTGACCACCTTTGCCCATGAGCAAAGAAACAAGAATGGGGAGATCTAGAATAAGCTGATGAAGGAAACAGAAGCAGATGGAGTGAGAAATTAGAAGTCGCCTAAAAGTACTAGGAATTATTAGGACATGCGGGAGAATAAAAGGATTACGATTGGGCTGAAACCTTTCTTCCTGTAAAGACAACCTTGATATTGGCTTTACCTCATCATCAGTTTCTTTTGAATACTTCTTGGTACTCACAGACCTCAGCTTCCATAGGAGGACTGTGATTCCTTGCAAAATGCTTCCTTCTAGGGCAGAGCATTTATCCAGGCAATCAGTCAGGCCCGTGAGGTTCACACACATCCACTATTTCTGGATCATTCTTTTCAAAGCAGGCCACTGCCTGGAGGGTGAAGAAACTCTTCCCCCCACTGTAAGGACCTGCGTGGAGCTCACTCCCTGGGGGAGCTGTACTGGCAGTCGCTTAGCCACCTGATATCCCTTTGTAAGCCAAGGGAACCTGGTTAGTCTGTCTGAGTGAGCAGGGCAGATCAATTCCATAAGCACTGCTGATGCTCAAGCAGAGAACGTGGCTTAGGGGTTGCCTGGTGACATTCATTCTCAGAACCTCATCTTGAGATGGACAGAGACGGGGAGTGCAGGAGAGGAATGCAGCTCCTAGTCCAGGAGGGGAGGGACTGCTCCAAGCTACGTGACAGGAGCAAGGCTGGCAGGGCTTACTTTCCCCGAGAGCCTCCTGAAAGAGCCAAGTCTGCCACCACCCTGTTTTGCACTTCTGGCCTCCTGAGTTGTAAGAGTACAAATTCCTGTCCCTTTCAGCCATACATCTTATAGCAATTTTTAACAAGTGTTTTAGGATACTAAGACAGTGGAGAAGTTTGATTGTGAAAGGCCTGTAGTACATAATAACCTACACATCATCCCTAAAAGGAAAAGAAAGAGCAGGGTATGATAAAAGCTGTATGGAGACACTAAGACCTACAGGACCCTCACTCCCCACACTATAGCCCTAAAATGAACCTAAGAGCAGATCATGAAAATGGGCTGCCAAGAGTCATCCAGCAGCTGGTACACACACTGAAAAATCACCCAAAGGCCAAATGCTACGAGCTTCTGCCCACAGTTGCTAGAACTTTTTTTTTTTTTTTGGTACAGGGTTTTGATATGCAGCTCAGATTCCAAATGATCCTCCTCAACCTCCTCAGTGCTGGGATTACAGGTGTGTTCCAGGGCTACAGGCTTAGCCTGCCTGGGGGTGGGTCCAGCACAGCATGTGGTGCCAGGGATTGAACCCCTGGCTAACTAAGCATGCACTTATTTCGCTGAGCTAGCTCCACCAGCTGTAATGCATCAGATTCTGTTGACTAGCAAGAACAGGGCTTCACATGGCATGATAAATGCATCTGTTTATGACTGTGGCTATGAAGCCACCATAGATGTGGGGTTCTGTTGTCTTTTCTTCCTTTCAGTACCTTACCAGTACAGAGAAACGCCAAAGACCCACAGAGGAGGAAGTATTGGAAAGTGCAGTTTCTCTTTGGGTGCATCATGTGTTCGGGAGGCTTCAAGCTGATGTTCAAACAGCTGCCACCATAACAGCCAAGGGATGAGAAAGGGACAAGGAGTTAGAGCCCCACATGGGAGACTGACAGGAAGCTGAGTTAGATAAAAATATTACAGGCAGTCAGACAGGACTAGCTCTCAGAAGAAGCCAGAATAGAAGACAAGATAATTTGCAACTGTGAGAGAGACAGACACTCCCTGGTGTTGGCCAGACCTCAAGACAAAAGATCAAACAAATGTCTACCTCCCTAAAGATAAACATGGGGGAATGATATTCTAAATAGGTCTCTCTCACTTGGAGGAAGCCAGAGTCACTAACCCAACGCTGTTCTACATCCATGACCTCTTGCTCCGTGACTCCCTTCCTGATACAGTACTGGATTTAATCTTTTTGGAGATCTCAGATTTGTCCCAATTCATGCCCACTTAGTGGGTTCCCATGTTTTTCACCTTAGACCTACCTCACCTCATGGTTTTGCTCTATAAAACTTGCTGGAAAATACAGATTTATGGAAGAACCCACTCTGGTCTCACTTCTCTCAGACAGGAGCTGCCTTTCCCCCAATAAGTATATTCTACTTTTAACCTCTGTAGTTCCTAAAATTCATCCTTAGAATTTAGAGAACATGAACTTGGCCTAGGTATCTTTCAGGTGAGGAACATATCTAGGCCAAGTCTTTTTGGCAATCTTTTCATTGCCCTATATCACCCACACCTTAGTAAATAAATTTGGACAGCTTATAATGTTTCCTTCTCACCACAACAGTCCCTGGGGAGAGCAGGACCCTGTGGTGTTAGAACCTGGTGTCAATACCCATTAACATGCAGGTGTCCTCAAGGGAACCTAAGATGGACCACACTCAGAGACAGCAGAGAGCCAGATTAAGAATGAGGCTGTGGCAGCCTCAGGCTATTCCTGAGCAGAAGCCAACTCCTGCTCATCAGCTTTGAGCAAAGATAACAAGCCATGGTGGTACAATCAGGACAGAGGTGTGTGCAGTGGAAAAGATGACCCTGTTCTAAAGCAGGTGAGGATGCCAGGGTGCTCTATACTACTCATGTAAGCATAAGCAGGTGAGGCTTGGTGGTGTGTTAGTAGTTCCAGCTCCTAAGAAGGCTGAAGCAACAGGATCATTAGACCCCAGGGCCTTAGGATCAGCCAGAACAACATAACATGACCTTTCTCTTAAGGGAAAAACAGAAACAGGTTTATTCAGAACAACTCAAGTGCATTCCTGACACCAGAACGCCAGGACACAGGTGAAAAGGAATCACAGTACAGTGGCAGGCAGGGGCCAACCTGCTGGCCTCAGGTAGGCCAAGGGCCAGGCATGTGTCTGTCCCAGAGACCCAGACAGTCTCTCTATGATGTCAGCTGGCAGGGACAACAGCCCCAGTAACTACCTGAGGAGGGAGAGAAGTCAGGAAAGAAGAGGCCCTGCTCTTGCCAGGGAGAAAAGGTATCAGGGGGCTACCAATTGCCAGTTTCTCCTGGAAGACAGAAAATTAAAACCACAGAATTGAACAGGAAGGCTGTGAGAATGGATTCAACCCAAAAAATAAAGGCTGATTCAAGAAACAAGGCCTTTGCTCTTTAACCTTTCCTTTCCAGGCACCTCACCCTCTGTATCTGCCTGGCTATCTTTTCCCTGCACTTGAGCCTTTCTTGACTTCAGAAAAAACCACCTCTGAGCACAAAGTAAACTCTGCCAACTTCCTGTAGAATTTTGCCCTGGACTCTCCCACCCTTGCAAACCCTCGGCCCTGGGCTTCCTCACTTACTTCAGGCCCAGCAGGAAATCTTGCTTCCAGCTTGAAGTGGTGAAGACGCGGAGGTGGAATCTCTCACCCCAAGGGGCTTGGCCTGCCTGTTGTCCCTACCTCCTTCCCCAGTTGCTGGCTGACAAAGGAAAGTGAAACTGCTGGGCTGGCAGGAAATGGAAAGAGGAAGACGCCTCAGGGCCAACAGCTGCCGTCCTCTGTGCTAAGAGAGAGGGTAGCGCTTTAACTCTACCTTCTCTTCATTGCAGGACCCAGATTTGCTGGGAGGGAGATTTCCCAATTTCTGAAGAGGTTTCTGGGTGTGTAACTCCGGATGGCTGCTGACCTCTGGTGGGTAGGGGCCAGTGATGCAGCTAAACTTTCTGCCCTACAGAGAACTGTTCTCAAAGCAGAATTATCCACTGCAGAATGGCAGCTGTGGCTGAGTCTGACAAACACTGTTTTACCCTTTCTGTGTCCTAGGTCAGGATGGGATCCAGTGTCTTCTCTCCTCAACTCTAATGGCTGCGCAGAAGCTCCCAAACCATCTCCCAATTTGTTCCACTTGACCATTCAAAACAATCTATGGTACCATCTTCACAGACAAGGGAAGTGGGCCGAGGAGGGGCAGGCTTGTCCAGAAGTGTTGGCTACAGAGTGATACAGGGAAATGAACTCCGAACCTGAAAGATAACTGAGGACGAGTTCCTGTTTTCTAAAACCAAAGAATGAATTTTAGTAACAAAAGAGGTTAAGAGCAGAATATATTTATTGGGGAAAGGAAGCTCCTGTCAGAGAGTACAGAAGGGGGACCAGAGTGAGTTGCCTAGGAAGCTGCCTTTTCTAGGGAAGAAAAACCATAGATCAAAACCGTATAGTGAGGGCTAGGGAGATAGCTCAGTAGAATAAGTACTTGCCTGGCAAGCGCAGGGTCCTGAGTTCTGATTGGTTTTAGAGGCAACAGGGATGGCAGTGGTGGTGGTGGCACAGCAGAGAAGCAGAAATCAGGGGAGGGAAAGCCTAACTCTGTTTGCTGCAACAAGAGGACCCACCTGGGGAGCTTGTTGCAGTGTTATAAGTACTGATTGCACAGGAGTTATGTTGTAAGCAACTGAATTAGATAAAAATATAGGCAGACGGGGCCAGGCCCTCAAAGAGACAGTATGGCAGACATGTTGATTTTACAACTTTGGAAGAGATAGACATTCCCCACTGTGGACCAGACCTCAAGACAAAAGAGTAAATAAATGTAGCCACATACCTCCCTAGGAATGGGCATCAGTGATTGATATTCTAAATAGGTGTTAATCACCTTGAAAGAGCCCAAATGAGTCAGTAACCCACCCTCAACAGGAAGAGACCCTGTTCGGTATTCATGCCTGCTAGCTACTTGACTGGCTTCCCCATTTGGTCCTGGACTTAATCAGTTTTACCTGGGCAATGCTGCCTGTAATCTCATTGGCTGACCATAGTTTTGTCCCACCTCATACCCACTTACACGAGTTTCCTTGTCTTCTCTACCACCATAGACCTGCCTCACTGCATGGTTTTCCTCTATAAAAGTCCCTGGAAGAGACAGTTTCCCAGGACTACCCCTTGAGAGGCCCCCTTCCCGTCCCTCTCTCAGACAGGAGCTTTCTTTCCCCCCAATAAATATATTCTGCTCATAACCTCCCTTTGTACCTAAAATTCATACTTCAGTTTTACAGAACACTAACTCCTCCCAGGTACCTTTCAGGTCAGGAGTTTCATTTCTCTTCTATATCATTTGGAGGTCCCGTATATCAGCTATATGCAGTAAGAAAACTTATTCAAAACTCATCTTAGGGGCCGGGGAGATGGCTCAGTGGAATAAGTGCTTCCCTGGCAAGTGCAAGGGCCTGAGTTCAATCCCTGATTCCGGGGGGTGGGGGGGGACTCATCTTAGCTGTGCCTGCCAAATGAGTGCCTATATCATGTCCCTCAATACCATTCATCAAGAAAGACATTTTCTAGGTGGATTCTTTTTTAATTCCTTGCTTGGGGAGAATTGTTTGTATTTTGAGACAGGGTCTCCTGTAGTTCAAGCTGCCCTTGAACTCACTGTGTAGCTCAGACAAGCTTGGAACTCTCTCAGTGCTGTCTCTACAGAGGTGTGTCACCACTCCCTTCCTTTTCTAGGTAAATTCGTAGGAAAAATTTGAGACAGAATATGACTGACCTTGAGTACTAACTGGTCTTGTGGGCCCTGGGCTGGGCAGGGAAAGTGAGATAACTTGAAACCACACCCCTAAGGCCCCTTGAACAGGAGAGCTCTCTCTCGGGTCAGCAGCCTTTGGGACACAGAAAAATCTCAGTCCCTTGTGCTACTATGAAGAGCATGCTATCTTCAAGAAGAAAATGAGTGGACAGATTGTCTGTGCTACACCAATGAGATCCTAGCTCCCCAAATTCCCTGGTTTTACAATATAAAAGTCCCTGGAACAAACAGCTTCCCGGGGAACTACCCGCTCGGGCCTCCCTCCTGTCCCTCTCTGAGACCGGAGCTTTCTTTCCCTCAATAAATATATTCCATTCATAACCTCCGTTTGTTCCTAAAATTCATTCTTCGGTTTTAGAGAACACGAACTCGTGTAGGTCAGATGGGGTGATCATTTTTCCCTAAGTCATTTGGAGGTTCCCTATACCATTTGGAGTTCTCCCACCTGAGATCAGTTTTTCTCCCTGTATCAGAACCAGGGATTGAACTCAGGCCCTTGCACTTGCCAGGGAAGCGTGATACTGAGCCATCTCCCCGGCTCCCACCTAGAGCTTCTTACACAGGAGCTTTGGAAACTGCTTGCCAAGATGCAATCACCCTTTCCGCCTCTACCACCCTCTGAATCCAAGGAAAAGACCCAGGCAAAAGGACAGTTAGAAATTGTTGGAAGTGGGGCCAGGGAGATGGCTAAGTGGAATAAGTGCTTCCCTGGCAAGTGCAAGGGCCTGAGTTCAATCCTCCATTCTTGCCAAAAAAAAAAAAAAAAAA